TTTGCGGCCGGAGCTGGTCGTAACCCGAAAAGTTCATTAACAGAGGCGTTCGTAACCCGAGGTACTACTGTACAGGTAACAAAATGGCTCATTTCAAGGATTATTTCCCAGTTTCATTTACTAAAACATCCCTATTTAAGCTAAAGTTATGGAGGTGGAGGCAATACGTTTCATTCAACCGTTGTATATAAAACTAGATTGTGAAGGGGACTTGCTGCAGAATTGAAAGAAAAAACTCTGGATTTCTTTAAAATAAAGTTTGTCTCCTATCCTTTAAAACCTGATTTTGAAAACAGATTTTTGGGGTCTATGTCAAAGCTTGGCAGGGAAAGTAAGTAATTTTCAGAAATTAATTTCTGAATTTTAGAAATTAATTAACCTGGAGGAGATCAATGTTGTGGGAATACAAAGTTATCTGTATTATTAGTTCTTCCTAATCCTATCAAAGCAGGTGCTGGTTACTTACTGGATGGAAAGAAATAAATTTTCCTTTGCTGAATTTTTATTTTCTTGCAGACCAGTAGAAATAATTGCTGGTTAGTAAGGCTAGACAAAGATTTCTGGTAAGGCTAGATATAACTGGTAGATCCCTGACATTTCTCTGGCCTGTGGGCAGATTTAAAACTCCCATCTCGTATAGCTAAATACACTTAGACCTGGTTGATACGTTATGCTCTGCAGTAAACCCGAAAAAGCACATGGTTGCTTGTGGTTTGTAGACCATAGATTACATCTTAGTGCAATCTACAAACTCATCTGCCAGGTCTAATCAACCAGTAGTTTGCCCTATAAATCAACATCCAAAATCACAATTTGATCTAGTTAGTTGTCATTAACCAAGAGAAAAAGCATCACCATGCTGATACATTTGCTTCAAAGCATGACTTGACCCGTTTCTAAATAAACCCTTTAAAGCTTTAGTTTTCTTTTTCTGTTTGCAGTATTATTTTACTAAATAAGGAGTAAAAGAACCTTTTACTTATGAAGGTCCTTATGGGAAATCTACTTATGGTTCATGTGAGTGTTCACACTTCCATACAAAATCGTTACTATTTCCCCAGTGACTTTTAGTTTGGAAGAATGGATTTAGATGCATTGAAATAGCTACATGGAAGAATTCTGGATACCTATGGTGGACCAAGGATCAGTAACTCTTATTAAAACAATCTTGATTGATCTTGGCTAGGAAATGGATCGGGCTATATGTGCAGCCAGTGTTCTACATCAAGCTGATCAAGCTCTCAGGCGAACAATCTCTGAAATGATGCAGAATGCTAAAGGTACGATGAGCAAGACTTAAGGATGACTTTATTAGAGAGAATGTAACTACAGTATAGCTTTGAATACAATATTAACAAATGATGCCTTTGGGGCATTTTATTGCTAAGACTCTTTTCACAGAGAGAATAGATCATATATATTATTGACAATTGAAAAGTTCTCTTTGGCAGATCACTGTTCTGCAGTGGAAAATAATTGCTCAGCTTTTAAAAAGTGACCTGGTTCATATATTACACTGGGCAAGACTTTTCCAGCCAGGACATCTGAGAACTGGGCGGGCTGTAATATATCTGGGAAGCATGGTAACGTCACAGTTGGAAGTTGGGGGGTTTTTTTGGTCCTTTTCTTATTGGGAGGTTGGGTATTACAGGTGTAAAATTAAGCCTAAAAAAATAAGCATACATTGGTGGCATACCCTATGGGGTCAATAGATTGATTTATAGAATAAGCCACAACTGGCTGAGTTGATACCACACATGACATGAAGCATATTTTTTATACTACAATGTCTGAACCAAAGGAAACAAAGCACATTATGACCTAGACTTGTTTATGGATCTAGTTTATAGTTGCAGCCATGTTTCTTTTTAGATAATAGCCTTTCCTTCTCAAAAGTTAAGATACAAAGATTAAACCACAGCATTTCATAGTTTATTGTTTTGTTTTCCAGCCAATAGCCTTATTCCACGTGAGATGAAGAGTTTGTCAGAGGAGCTCAACAAGCAGAAAGTAAAATTCCTAGAAGATTTAAAGCAAAAGTCTAATAAACAAAACCAGTGCTATGTAGAAAATAATACATTTAATATAACTTCTTTATTTTCCCAAGAGACAGATTATATTGTTAAGAAGTATTTAAATAAATAGCATTTTATTTTGCTTCATGGTATCAACTGTGTGGTGGAAATTTTACAAGAATAAAGCTATCTGTAACAGGTATGGTTTCCCTGTGTAATTTTAAAAACATTGAAAGTCAGTTCTGAATGGTGGAATATATTGTTCAATCTGAGGAATAAGTTATTTCCTGCTTGAAGGTGTTTAATTAAGAGGCACTATTTTTTTCTGCCAGCTTTCCAGATTAGTTGCCCATTGTTATGGCTGTTGTAGAAAAAGACAGGTCTCATTCTAAGCTCCTCATAGGAGCCAGGCAAGCAGGCTGAAAGCTCCCCATGACTTTATCGCCTAAAAGCAACAAAGTACTAGAATAACTTAACAGGTGTCTACTACACTGATTTGTTCATAGTGCCTAATGGACCTTGGTTGACCTCAAACTAAACAAGGTTAGAGATGGTTAATATCTGCATTAAAGTTCACTAAGAAATCCCAGGGTTATAGGTTATACCAGGAAGTTTAAAAAATGCTGAAAGGGGAAGTGATAAACCACTTCCATTATTATTGCCAAGAAACCTACATGTCATCAGATCAGCTTAATGTGAATAAATGTACCTTATCAACATCCTGAGAAAGTAATGTTGTTTTATTTAAAGTATTTTAATTCTATTCTTCATCCAAAAAGGCTTCCAACAGCTTTTTGGTGGATCAAATTAATTGGAAATCCAGATGGGAATATATTCTTGCTTCACCTTTATATCTTACCATATATCAAAGCACAAGATGTACGTTCTGATTTCGGGCAACTCACTTTTCTCACTGCTGTCCTAGATGCCTCACCTTCCTTCTTTTAGTACTGTCTCCAACCAAGTTGGTGACTATTAATGCTATTTATTCTTTTGATATTACTGCACGAAACAAGGATGCAGTATTTTTTTTAAAACCGCATAGATTTTTTTAGCCTGTCCATGCATCATCTGCAATATTTCCTTGTTATTGACATTTTTCATCATGTGTTATCAGTCTTCAATACAATATTCATATCTCTATGCATTCTGTCTTGCTTATATACGCTCAGCCCTTTATATAAAGGCTTCTGTTCTCTTGATTATAACTTGGTCATTGTCTATGCTTCTACTTCATACAAAAGTACTGCAAGATTTAACAGCAAACAATCTGCCAACAGTCTTAAGTTCCAACAGCAAACAAATTTACTTATTTTTCAAAAAGGAGCTGCCACTTGTTCAGTCCTGCTTACTACTTCAATGCTATGTGGCCATTTATTATTGAAAATACAGTCCAGGTACTTATGTTGTTACACTCTGACTTGTTTTCCTGTTAGCATATCTAGTTCAATTATTTCATTATGCCCATCCATCCTTGCTCCTGATTTATTTCAATTCTTAGTTAATGAATTAAAAAGAAATAGGTAACACCCTGTTTTCATTCCATGGGCTCCAATATTTTAAAATACAAAATGCAGAACTAATATTCATAAGCACAGTGAGGTGGAACACACCCAAGCTGTTCATGAGTGAAGCCCTAGGATGGGAGAATACCACCAATGATTTTGTCATTTGCTTCCCCAGTATACTTGGGACCAACTGGCTACTGGTGTTTTCCTGTTAAACGTGCCCTCTTTACCACCTAGCAAAACAGTACAAATAAACAAGTTATCAGTGGACTATAGTAATCTACTTGGCAAATTATATTCTGTATTTACCCATTATTGTAAGTGACCACTGGTAATTATGTAGATAAAACGAGGTAATGTTATTTGAGATAGAGAGGAGGGAGGCAGTGTGGATATATAACAGTACAAATTATGCAAAATAATTATCTTTTGTAGGAAGGTGGTTATATAAAAATATTTTCCAAAACCCAATTTTCATTCTGGCTATAGAAATAGGTTTGTTTCTTTGGAATAGATACTAAATAACTTTTTAGAAATACAAAATGTCATTCAGTGAGAAAAAAATGCTTTGAGACTGAAATAGCTTCCAGCAAGGAATTTGCTGGGTTTTTGGATTTACACAGATGGAAAAAGCTTGGCTAGCACATTTTTTAAAGTTACATTCCTTTGTTGAAGAATTAATAGACTAACAAAACAGAACAAGGCTATGTGCTTCCTGTTCAATACTATAATTAGGTTAATTAGAAACAGCACATTTTGGCTCCTATCACAAAAGAACACACACACTGACAGTTCCATCCAAGTTGAGTGCTTTGAAATCTCATGCAAATATGGCTGTCACTAAAATCAGTGGACTTTAAATATTTAACTTGCCCGAGTTCTTCTCATTGCTTTTGTCAGTTGCATCCCATTCAGTTTTAAATTAGATTTGTATGGCAAATTTCATGAAATTTTTTTCAACCTACTTATCAGTCTTTGCGTTACAGGCAGCAATTCACAATCAATAGTACTGCAAAAGGCATCAGGGAAACTTCAAAATAAGTTGAAGTGTCTCTTGGGCAGTGCTGCCACCTGAATGCCAAATCTGAATTCATTTTAATAAAATGAAAAAAAAATGGTAACAGCATAAAATTTTTTTTAAAATTGCAGCAAAAGCTTGATGCACTAATGTTAAACCCAATCTGTAAATTTCTATGTAGTTATTCTACATTTCATAAGGACCTATTAATGAAGGTACTTCATGTAATGACGATACCTAGACATTGTACAACATAATCAACAGATCATAAGTCTCAGTACCTCAGACTTGTACTGCCTGCTTAGTGGATTCCAGCTGTAACTTAAGTCAATAACTTTGGTCTTTGCATGGCCACACTGGTCCATGCAGAAATCTTTGGAAGCTGTAAAACTAGTGCTAATAGGGATCCAAGACATCTGCAGATCAGCTTTCCCTAAAGAGGTCACCAATAAAGTCTTTCTCATAAGCACCTGTGCACGCACATACTTTTTAATCCTAATTAAAATGGCAGAATATACTGTTTGTGTTTTTAATTAATTTAGAGGTAAATCACAACAATGTTACCTTTCAGGTGCAAGAGGCCTGAAACCTCTTCCAAAATTTAACATGGTAATCCTTCAGTCCTGTTTTACAGAACAAATATAATCCAGAATAGGATTCTGTGACCAAGATCTGCCAATCTACCATGAGCAGTTAGAGATATCCACAATTGTCTCTTTACCTGGGCCTTCAGTCTGTAAATACTGGATATCTTTCTTGTATGTTTTTGCTTTTGTATTTCTGTCTCCTTCAAGCCTGCATGTACAGAGTTTGTTATTATGTACTTTATATTTTGTAAATTGCTTCAAGATATTTCTGAAGAGGAAGTGACACAAAGTTATATTAAAGAGTAATATTAAGTTCCCTTAAACATGCCCTTGTGGGCAAATCCTTGTTGCAATTAGTTGTCCACTTCTTTGCCGGAGACAATGAAAGGTGATTTGCCATAGTATCTTATTAATAAGAAATTATTAATAAATTTCTTATTTAATAAAGAAAATCAGATTTGGCACACAGCTCATTTATGAAAATTTCAAGATGGCCAACTAAAACATTTAACAGCCTTTACTTAGTTGGTAGTCAATTCAGCTCCTCCAGCATTATACTAAAAATTACTTTTTTGCTCCTGTCATGGCAAATCCCAGTCAAACAAAACTTTATGAGTATTTTGTCACTGGCTTCTGAACATATATATCATTGGAAGCTCATTAAACGGAAACTGCTAGAAAGGAACATTAAATAAGTAGATAATTCCAATAATGTGCTGTTTAAAAAACTTGAAAGTATTTAATGAGAGTATTTTACTCAAGTATTAAGCGACTGAATATTATTTGTCATAAAAATATTTACAGGACTTTTGCAAATAAAAGAACTTAAATATACTTGGGATTTTTTTTCCCAAAAGGAATATTCCCCACTGAAGAAATAAGTGAGTCCACTGATTTGCTTTAGGCAGATGGGGTCACCAACAGCTATCCTGCCCAAATTGTAGCTATTTACCAGAGACTCTCTACCTCTCATGGCTTACTGCAGATGGGCAACATCCAAGCTTCTTGAAGTTGCTGAGCCCGTTTCCATCAGCACTGACAGATATGTCCAGTAGCAATGATGCAAATTTCAGTGCAACATCTGGAAGGCTGTACATTGCCTTTTCCTGCTAGGGCCTTTGTGACGTCCTTTTGTGGCAAAGGCATTTTAAACACTCACCACTGATAGTTTCTGTGCTAAACAGCAAAACTTCAAATAAAATCAGGTAATTCTAAAAATGCTCTGACTAGAATGCATGTAAGATTGTCTCCAAGTATATGACAATTTTCTTCCTTACACCCTGTATTCCTTCTTCCAAAGCCTTTCCTCAAGGTCTGGAAAGTCCCATTTTTCAGAGGGGGACTTGTGTAACTCTTGGATATAGTTTTTTATATTTGTTTTTTTTAATAGAATTTGGGCAGGCATCCATGGCAGCTTAGAAAAGCATCTGTTTTGGCCATCAGAAACAGTCACTAGAGAAATGTTCATCTGCTAAAAGTTCTGAAGATGAAGCTTGTAATCAGACCTTTCTACACATAAAGAGAAGCAGAGATATTAAACAGTTCAATAAATGCACTCTATTATATTTGAAATAGGTTTGTATGTGCATATTTACTTGTTATGCAAGGGATACCAATATAAAGTATATTTTTGTTTCTCATGAAATAAAAAAATATACAATAAAAGTGCATTTCAAAGTGTTTTCTTCTGTATGCTATTAAGGAATTATGTGCTATAAACTAGTATTCTGTAGTTTCTGCTAGCATAATTTGTTTAAAGTGCCTATTCATTTTCCTAGGTATTTTTTTAAAAGACAGAAGTATCATACAACTTATATCCACTGCAGTTCATTATTGTGATTCTCCATATTTGTATCTTGCCTTACCAAGTCCAGAATTTTTAATGAAAACTAAAACAGTCTTGACTATTTTCTGTCAATTGCTGCCTCTATGATTAGAATGCCATTTTCAAAAAGGAAATGTGTTCATGGTTAAAATGACCCACACAAAATCTGAATGGATCATCATAATCACATAACTTTCTTGCTTCATTTCCATTAAAAGACACTGGTGCTCAGAGGGCAAAGGCAAAATAGCACAAACTTCAGCACTTAAAGGCAATGAAAATATTTGTAATGCACTACAAAGCTAGCCAAGATGATTATGGTACATTGTTTTAACACATTATCCATTTTGTTCTAAAGGTTTTTTTCCGCAGTTTTTTAAAAAGTTACAAACATTTAACACTAGGCACTGTTCCCTTGTATTGTTTTTCCCCCCTTAAAGAACAGGATAGTAGCACTGGAAGTTGGATATTTTTGTACTCTTATTTCACATTATTACTTCCACAATGTACTATTACAAAAGGAACATCATTAAACACCTGACTGCAATTACAGGGTTTTGCAGGCAGGGGATTCCAGATTTTCTTGTTGACATTACGTTTGTTGGTAATGCTTATAGAATTTTCTAGTAGTTTAGGGTATGGCCCATTCATACAATCTTATAGCCTCCACGCTGATTGTATTAGGGTAATTTAAGAATAGCAGAATTATTGGGCTATTTTGTGGCATAGGCTAACCTAAGGAACTGTAGCTGTGCTAGAACTGATCCAAGGCTTCATATTATATAAAGTAAATCCACATTTTGTTGCTCTAACAAACCTTTTTAGAAGGTATATTTGCACTGTAGGCCTCATTTTTGTTTTAAGAGCTCAGTGTGAACAATACCACCATGACTAGCAAGCATATCATCAGCAAATTGTGACAATATAAGTTGTTTGCCTCCAACATTAAATTGTTATCTGAATTCCTCAAAAGGCAACCTCCCAATTGTGTAAGAGACAGATAGAAATGTGTTTAAACAAATAAATAAAAGCACAGTGTACATTAAATTCAGTCAATGCTGGCTATGTTGGCCTCTGGCAAAGTGGCAAGCAAAGTCATACTTGTTTTTACATTTGCAACCACAGATGTTGCATTGGAAAGGGTTCTCAAATCCGTGGCATCCCATATGAATAGTATACAGGATATTGTCAGCAAAATACATATCACAGTGCTGGCAGTGATGCAGAAGCTGAGGATCTTGAACTGGAAGAGTTGGTGCTGGAGTACTTGGTTGACTGTTACTGATACTTGGGGTGCTGGCCTGAGCACTGTGGTCACTACTAGGGCCTGCCACAGGACTATAATTTCTTTGTGAATGTACAGGACGAGGATCTGGACTTGTAGGAGATGAGCTCTGGGGAATACTGGTTGATACAGCTGGAACAGAAGTTGGTGCAGCAGGCTGCTGCATCATAAAAGGCTTTTCATCTTGACATGGTACAACATCAGGAGAAGGTGGGTTCTGATTTTCAGGGGGCAGACTAGACAACTGTCCTGCTAAAGTAGATAGCTGATTTAAAGGGTTATCTATCATAAGGTCTTGTGAATCTCTCGGCAATCCACTGGTCTCTGTTGGTTTTGTTATACTTTCATATGCTTCAGCCTGAATATTTGGGATTTCATGAGTGAAATCATTAAGGTAGTCTGGCTTCTGAACCACCATGGAAGGTGGACTTAAGTTAATTAGTGCTCTTCGGCTATACCCCAAGTTACTGGTCTTCTTTTGCAAAACACCCCACATCTTCTTGCTACTAAGGGAAGGTCTTGTACCCTTTATTGGCACCATTTTATGTTTGCGTCTCCGGTGGTGAGACAGGTTGCTTCTGTCACTACAGCGGAAGGAACACAATTCACATTTATAAGGTTTTTCACCAGTATGAGACCGCATATGAGCTTCCAGGTGACGTTCATAGGCTGATGCAAAGGGACATAGGTGGCATCTATGTGGTTTTTCACCTGGAGAAACACAAGTAAAGCTTTATTTTGATCATTTTTTTGTGGTAACAGCACCCTGGCAAAGCAAAGGAAGAAAAGTGAGCAACAAATAAATCACTGGTTGAAAGAAGGTATTGCAACAAACTTGTTAAGATAAGCAGTTAAGAAACTTAGCAATTACAAGAACCAATTAGATCCAAAATCTAAACTGCATTCTTATTTCTAGAATAAATGAAATACTTAAGAAGCTTGCCACATAAGATATATAATATGACCTGTTTTTCTTGGCTTAACTTGCATGTGAATTTTAAGCATTTGTTGGAAAATATAAAATGGAAATAATTAATACATAGCTCACATTTTATGTAATAAAGATGTATACCACCACCACAGAAACATAAAATCTGCAGATACAATGATACCTGTGTGGATTCTGATATGTTCTATGAGTCGTGCTGTTCCTTTGCTGGCATAGTTACAATATCGACATTTTAATTTTCCATCAAAAGTTCTTTCAAAACCGTCTACTAACACTCCTGAGTTTTCATCCAGTGGAACTTCAACTGAAGGATGATCTAATCCATTCTGATCACCTTCTGTCCCTGCTATATATAATAAAAGAAAGACACATCAAGCTTCTTACTGAGTTTTGTAAACATTCAACGTGTTACAGGAAAGAATAAAAAGGAATATTTCTTAAACATTATGCCTCTTTTCATTTATACAGTTACATGAAAGTTCAGCTGCACTATGTTAACCTACCTCCTTGAAGAGTCTCTGCTTCTTTGTCCCCAGTAACAGAGCCTGAAATCATGTTCACATGGTGGGTCTGTTGAGTTAGGTATTCCTGAAAATCTTTTACAAAATCCAGAGGTTCTGGTTTCTTTTCACCCATAGTCACACTACAACTTCACAATGTTGCAAACCTAAAACATAAAATCAAGTTAAAATTTACAACAAAATTGTTTCCAGCTTTTAGTACAGTAATTTGTTGCTAAAATATCATTCTAACTTACACAATAAAAAAGGAAGGCAATCTGTTATGCATAGGTATCATGCATGTATATACCTTCCTTGTTGCTTTTTCTACAACATTTTAATTTGAAAAAAAACAACCACCACCAAATGAAAAGCTAACATGTTGAAAGGCAACGTGTCACTCTCTAGCACCATTTTTATTCTCAGTAATCCCTCTGAGTAAATAAAAACTAAACAAATGGTGGCACTCCAGTAATTTGTTTGGACATGTACCCATTTAACCAGTTTAAAAAGAGACAGGTAAACTGGGATAGTAAAGAGCATGCTACAAGACTAAAGCTGTGGAACAACTTTGCCTTCTGGTAAACAGACTTTTTCTAAGTGGGCCAGCTATAATGGCAGCCATCTTATGAATAAACAAGTTCCACTGGCTGCTACTTGGTGAGGACACATATTACTGTACTCTCAAAATTCCAAACATGTTCTCCAGCCCAAATAAACTGCCTAGCCCAACAGAAATTGGCTGGGTTTACACAGCAGAAGCCAGTTTGGCAACAGTGATTCACTGAAAACTAAAATTGCTTAACTACAAGCTAAGTCACAATAAAAAGTAATCTTCTCATGGCTTAGTGTAGTACATGAAACCAGAGATTATCACTGGCTGAGGCTGTTTGTATTAGAACTTTATAAAATCATTTACTCTGTTTCTTCCACACAAAGCAGTTTGCAATGACTGAAGTCACATATATGTGTTTTATGATTACATGAGAGTTACTACAAAATTATTAAACATTCCTTGAGCATTAAAAAAATACATTGCAATGTACCAAATATGCATTCAATTTCATTAAACTGGTTTCTTAAAACAAGAGTGAGGAACCTTTGGCTCTCCCGAAGGTGCTGAACTAGAAGGGCTGCAAATTGCCTACTTCTGTGCTATGAAAAAAGAAACCAATGATCACAATTAAAATGGGTGTACGTGGTTTTAAAGGCAAGATCTCTAAAATGACAATTTTCTTAGAACATAATTAGAAATATCGTACCTGAATTTGTTATGTTGAAAACATTGTGAATTCTTCAAGATATCTTACAAGACATAAAGCAGCTGTGTCCCACTTTTCCTAACAGCAAAAACAAAAAATTCAACAAGTACATATTAGCTAAATTAGCACATCTATTCTTCTAACAAAGGTAGTTCAATAGCCATAACACACTGTAGCACATCAAAATTACAGAAAGTAGAAATAAACTACCTACATCATATTTTTCAAGTTAATTAATACCTATGCAATTTCATCAAAATATGCAAATCAACCTAACCACCACCAACAGAAAGATCACAATCCACAGAAAGGGTAAGCTTCCCTTACATCAAAGGAATCTCACAGATCATTAATAGGTTACTGCAATCATTTGGAATAATTATGATGTATAAACCAATCAAGTCCCCGCAAAGCATACTAAGCAAACCCAAAAACCCTGTACCAAAGGAAGATAAAACAGGAGTCATCTACAAAATAAAATGCAAAGACTGCAAACAAAACTATATTGGACGAAAAGGCAAAAGACTAGAAAAACATATCCACAAATTCTAACTAGCCACCAAAAGGTATGACTTGGCTTTCTTAATCATGCTCCTGAGAGGTAACTTTTGCTTGGAAACAGCAGAACTCTTAGAACAAGCCAGACTGAAAAATGCAAGACAGTTTTTAGAAGCAGGTCACTCCAATCCAGCAACAGACATAAAGGATGAAACTCTAGTTATGGACCTGTCAAAAAATTCAATCAAAGACCAACACTAGCAGGCCAACTCAATCTAACAACAATCCTTCCCATCACACAGCAATCAGTCAGCACCTACACAAACTAGAGTCATCTCCTTATCACCAAATATAATTACAATTCAACAACCACACACACGCACACACAAAAAGAATGCCATCCTCCCAACAAGCTGTCCCTTCACATAGCTATCAACGCAGGAAGCAACCAACATACAAATAAGACAGAATACCTTATCAGTTAAATAAATAATCTACCAACAAGGCATCACTTGCAAAACAACATCCGCCCACCAGACCTTCCTATTCTATCCAAGTACATGCAAAGCAGGCAAGACAGAAAGATATATAACCTCAGCCAGCCAATGAACCTTTCTTATCCAAAATTTCAGGGCTGATGATGTTACCTAGTAGGGTAATGAAACATCTACAACCCTAGAACAAAGCTTGGAAACTGCAACAATTCACCATGCCAGAACTGAATTATATGTATTTGTATTACAAATTTTGTCTTGTCAGATTTCTGCTTCAAGTTGATCCTGTGTTTTGCTATCTTCTTAAAACTTCACTATTACCTCATATTATGCTCTCTCAGCCTCTTCAGTTCTTCCCTTTTCCAAATTTGCTTCTTCCTCAGCTGTTTCAATAGACTATCTTGTTCTGCTTCAACAGTCCCCAATAGTTACCTGCAATGACTAAGTCTAATCTTTAAGCTGCCTTTTCATAGAATCATGCTTAGAACAGCTACAACTGATTTAATCCCAATACAAAGAAACAAAATTAAACACTACAAAGCAGATACTTTTAAATACAGTTCCTCACATAATGTTTTTTATTTAGTTTTGCAAAGCTTTCATTGGTGGTATACTCAATTATGGCTAAAGTTGTTTTTTGTTAAACGTCAATTTTATGCAACACGTTTGAATCCACAAAAGATTTATATCCCAGTTACAAATTTTAAAACTTAAATATTTATCAAAGATCATTTGTTGACATGCTCCATTGTTTTAGTACTACTGGCTTACCTAGGGAGGAAAAAAATTAATTTACAGCATTCTGCAGTGAACGTCCTACAGGGTATAAAGATTTATCAGCTGCAATGCTGGACCCAATAGGGGCTCATCTAAACAAGTATTCTGCTTATAAACTGACCAGACTTCTTAATAAACAACAGAAATACTACACAACCAAGAAACTGATTACAGTTATCAGATGGAAACAAATGTGAAATGGTCACTATTAGGGGAGTGTAAAACTTTTTAAATTTGAAACATTTCACATTCAAATTGTCCCATGTGAATGTGATTCAAAACAGCTGTTTCAACTCAAACCAGGAACACTTTACACTCAAAATGTTTTGCATACCTCTAATCCTTACACTGTTGGGGTATTTTTGGTTGATTTTTTGTTTTGTTTTTTGAAGTTTCATTTTTAGCTTAATAGGCTATATACACATGCATTTGCAACCATAGGTTTTAACAAAATTTGTATAAAATTACAACAATCCAATCAGTTCAAGGTTGAGCCCTAGGCCCCTGTAATGTGGAGTGCCTCAGCGCTTGAGCCTTTCACCTCTCCTTTTCAACATCTACATGAAACTGCTGGAGGAGGTCATCCATTGGTATGGGCATGCGGTATCATCTAGTCATCTGGTATTATCAGTAAGCTAATGATACCCAGTTATGTATCTCCACCTTTAGCTGGACAGGTGATGCTGTGGCAGTGCTGGCCGAGTGCCTGGAGGCTGTAAGAGTCCGGATGGAGAGGAACCAGCTTCAACTCAACACTGGCAAGACAGAGAGGCTCTGAGTTTTTGGCCCCCCAGGCACAGATGATATTTCATTTCTGACTCTGGATGGGGTGGCACTCCCCTAGACTGAGTTAGTACACAATTTGGGGGTCCTCCTAGACTCACAGCTCCTGCTCAAGGAACAGGTGGCAGCCATGGCTAGGGGGCCTTTGCACAGATTCATCTGGTGTGTCAGTTGTGCCCCTTCCTGGACCAGGAGGCCTTGCTTATGCTCACTCATGCCTTGGTCACCTCCCATTTGGATTACTGCAATGTGTTGTACATGGGGCTGCCCTTGAAGACCACCCAGAAGCTACAACTGGTCCAGAATGCGGTGGAGACACAGTAATGGGTATGTAACAGTACCCATGTAACATCTGTGTTGCGCGAGCTGCATACGGATGCAATTCAAAATGCTGGTTATTACCTTTAAAGCCCTATATGACACCTATTAGCTGCAGGGCCCCCTCTCCCTAAGGACATCTACCCATCCCACCAGATCAGATAGGGTGGGCACTCTCCTAGTCCCTTCCTTTAAACACTGCCATCTTATGGGATCTAGGAAGTGTGCCTTTTCCATGGCAGCCCCTGCCCTATGGAACACCCTTCCCCGGGAAGTTCGGCAGGCTTCTATCTTCCTAGCCTTCTGAAAAGCACTTAAGGCCTGGCTTTCCCCCCAAGCATTGAGATAGGATGAGGTAGATGAGAGAATTTAACAATGGACTACATGTGGAAGTTAACTAAGTGTACCAGGTTTTTAATGTTTATGGTTTTAATGGATATATGTATTATGGTGTTTTATTATTGATGTTGTTTTGTTAGCTGAAAGCTGCCCAGAGTTCAATATAAGATGGGCAGCTATATAAATGTTTTAAATAAATAAATGCTTTTAATGCTTCCAATTAGTGTCAATAGAAAATTACCTTTTAATAGGCTAAGAAAGAAAATTAATTCTCTATTTATTTTGTCTACACAATTTCATAAGCCTCTATTATGATTCCTTTTCACTCTTTAAGTGTGAGTTTTGCTGAGTTACTTAGGGTTAATAACAAGTAACTGCTTGAAGGACAGTAAAAAGGTTACTTTTCAGATGTGACTTTTGTTGAAAGCCAAGTTTGTAAGTTTTTTCTTTAATATTATATTCAAAGTCCAGATTTCATAAGTAAGTTATTCATTTATTATTGACATACAGTACCTGAAAATATTCTGAAAACCTCTTCCCAAACAGAAAGATAATCTGCTATATCTTTGTATTTGCTATAAAGTCAAGTCTGTTTTTAGAAAGTGTTCACACCTTCTGAAATAATATGGATGTTAATTACTGTTTAAGAGTTACATCACTACAGCTGTCTCCAAGTTCTCTGGAAGCACTTTGGGCAAGTGCTAAAGAAACTCAAGTAAGACTTGCTTTTTATTTCTTACTCAAAGATAATCTTTAAATGCATTTGAACTTCAAATCTGCACAAACTGTACACCCAAGAGTGAACCATGTTGAAGTTTTAAAAAAGGTCTTACTGTGCTAAATCTATTATGTAGGTGTAGTATTGAGATACATGTTTAAACTCTTTGAGTTTCACTGGCAATTACTTAGGGTTAATAACAGATAACTGAAGGACAGCAAAAAAGGTACCTAGTAAACTCAAAATTGTAATGAACATGGGTAAAGCTAACAAATTCTGAGAGAGAATCCCACTCAGCTAATCTCCTCTACCTTTCAACTACTTTCTTCTACTAATGGTCAAAATTCCCATCTCCTAACCCTTTTTCTCTCTCTAACTTACTGCAACATTTTACTTGCCAAGTAGTCTCCTAATATATACCTCATGATACTACAGTGATATCTGAAGATCCTCAAAAACTACTCAAGCTCTTTTTCTTTTAGTTGTTGTTGCCTATTTTGTTTGTCTATCTTCCTTTTTCAACATGCACAAACAATAATAAGTAACAATACAGTGGAGACCTTAGTACTATGTATTCAGCTGAAGATAGAAACCTTTAATGTACACCAAATATTTTGATGTAATTTTCAGTTGTTATTAATGCTATATTTAGCTTTAGATGTAAAATTTAAATAATCTTATGCTTATTAACATCAACATTTCAAATCATAGTTAATACTGATATAAATCTTTTCTTTTTTTCTATCTTTAAAGGTTTAAATTATCTAAACATTAGAGTGTTAATAATCTCTAGTCAATATTGCATATATACCACTGTATTGAATATATTATATTATTTATATCTTATAACAATATAATAAAACAAATAAAAATAAAAAATTACTTAATGGTATGTTAATTACCTTAATTACTTTTGTCCGAATCAGTTTCAAGTCATTGACACAGGCATCAAAAATCCACTCCTGAGATTTATGTTCCATCATACTTGGAAATACATTTTTCTGATTAAAGCCTCTACAATCAGCCTATAAGAAAATGAAACCAGGACATATATTTTCATTAAAAGTGACATCTGCTTTATGTAGTTTGACAGAAGGATATCTTGTATGTTTATATAGTTAAGTCTTTAATATTATTTATGATCTGTTTACTGTAGTCTCAGAAAGAGGAAACTTTCCATATGTACAACTACTCTAGAAGAAACACGAATTCATTCCAATACTGTATATCTCTTGACTCTCATACCTTCTGGGAACCACTACTAGCTCAGTCTCAACAGTGACAGTGGAGGAAAGAGCAATGCTTCCCTAGAAACATTCCTTCCTCAACCTCACCGGACTACTGGAAATAAAGTAGATAATATCTGGGTCAGATGTTGGTTATAATATTAAGAGAGTGACCCTAACTAATTCAAAAGGAAAAGAGTAGCAAACCAACACTCTGATTTTCAGATTAAGGGCAGGCATTTGAGTGATAAATATTGTTAAATATATTTTTTTTTCAAGCATTAAATTTGAGATGCTTGTCATCAGGTCTAATACTAACTACCAAAAAAAAAAAAAATTAGAAAACTAATTCTTTTCAACAACAGTTAATTCGATTTTTTATTATATTTTTACTCATTCTTCTCCAAAGCAGTTCATATTGGTAACAGTCCTCTTTGCTCTCCATTTTATCTTAGCATGAAATAGGTTAGGCCAAGTGACTGATGGCTCAATATCATTACATGAGATTAAAAGTTGAGTAAGGATTTGATTCTGGATCTTCCTGATTATCCTTTGACACATCCTTGCTTAGCCATAGCACTGTTTCTTATGATTTTTTCTGTGTTAGATGCTAATAGTTATTGCAGATAGCTAGTAGAAAATATGTGTTATGATCCTTAAATTGCACCCAGCAATGACACTGTAACTGAACAAACTGCCCTCTTCATAGTACCTTTCTTGAAATAATTCAAATAATAGCTCATCTGATAATGAGGACAACTATCGGAACTCACACATGGAGAGTCACGTGAATGCCCCTCAATAATAATTATGGTATTTAAGCTTCAAGAACTTCATACAATTACAGATATTTCTTATCAAAGATGAGGCACATAAAGTTTGTGATCCTTGAACCAGAATGTAGCCCAAGAACACCAAGGGCTGATAAAAGTATGTTGCATACCTGATTTTAGCCTAACCCCCCTAATAATCCCAAAACAGAAAGAAGTGAAAATGTTATGTGTAAGAAGCATGCATGTAAATGGATGTTTCCTCTCCCTCCCTGCTACTTCACTCCTCACAAGCACTGTCAATTCCTGAGACTTTAAGGTGTTGCACAGACACCAATGCAACTCTACAGTACTTCTGATGAAACTCTCTGTTGCCCAGGAAATGGATTACCATAGTCCAGTGTCATTTTCAAAAATACCGCTTTTTCAAATTATCCATTAATAAAAACGTTTGCCTGTTTTCTTTCCATTATCATCAGCCTCCTAAAGTTTTACTTAGATGGAAATAGCAGGAAGAAAATTATTATTTGTTAAGCTCACAAAAACCCCTATCACTTCATCCTGGGTTTATGCAAGCAGAACAGAAAGGAGGGCAAGTGCTTTCCTGCCTTTCTTCAGCTTCTATTTCTTAAAACCATTTTTTTCCCCTTTACAGCCAATCTGGGATGTTGGTGCAAGGAGGGAGCGGGCTGATGTATGCCATCTATAGAAATGGTATTCATTCCCACTTTCCATGTTGGAATATATCTTCCAATCCAGATTCTCCCATGAGCTGTACATAAAATGTCCCTAATAGATCTTCTGCATCTCCTAATGTTAGAAAGCCATAAACTGAAGGGATTTCCACAGGAACTGGATTTCTCTCTCTACCCTGGAACAGGTAAATCCAGGCTACCATATTTAATCCACACACCCACAAAAAAACTCTCTATATGATAATAAGATTGCAGTCTAAATGTAGTGTATCATAAACTTAGCGATGTGACAAGAAGAAGTCATGCACAGAAACCTCAAGAGCTTAATATTACCATTTTGGTGAAATTACCTACAAGGTCTAGGATGGCTATGCCTCAATATTCACTAACAGCAACTTTTAAAACCACCACTGCAGCTGGGTGGCCACACCTAACTAATTTTGGCTGGTCTAAAAAAACTTAGTAGTACTTGGATGGGAGATTATCAAGAAAAACTAAGGTTGTAGGCTATGAAAGAAAAATACTGAGGTGGTTTGGTCATATAGAATGAATTAATCAGTTGCTAATCAAATGTATGAAGGAAAACTGAACAGCTGAGAGAAGGGGGAAGACCAAGAAAATCATGGTTGAATGGAACTGATGAGATCCTTAAGGAGAGAGAGAGGCAAGAAGTTTAAAGAACAAAAGGCAATATATGAAGTGATTAAGGATATGACGGAAGCAAGGATAGAAATGTTTGGAGAGGTACAATAATGATGTTGGGGTAAACTAGTTTTAGTTATTTTCTTTTTCTGAGCTCATGTCTTTAATTTCTTTGGCCTACAATATTTTACTACTTTTCTACACTCCGCACATGTGCTTATTCTGAAATGGAATAGTGTGATGTGTATGTATGTAAATTGTCTTAAATATGGCAAATATTATAATACAGCAAAGTGACAAATTTTAATACAGAATTGGAATTAAGTTAAATATACAATTAGGAAGTGCTCCGAAGTAGTATAAATCCAGTATTCTCCAGTAATAACATTCTTTACATAATGCAGAAAATCTATAATATTAATATGAACTATCCCCTGCAATAATTTTCCATGGGGAGATGGTGATGGTAGTCTTTTTTTCATTTCATTTTAGTGGGAAAATTCAAGTTCAACAATACTGTATACAAAAACAAGCAATCTAGGTTCTGGGCTGAACATATGTTTCTTTTTTTAATCCTGATGTTTCTATAACTGAATGCTCTATTCTTTGTAGGAAAGACATAATAATTTAATGCTCATGTCCCCACAATTTGAGATTTGTCTAAGCTTGTCCATATAAGTCTATGTTTATGACATCTTATTGTTAGATGGTAATTTTTTTTTGGCTAAAAAAATTAATCAAAATTAAAATGGAGATAACCAGATAAAAGAAACACAACATGCAAAACTCTATACACAAGAAACACCATTAAAGTGTTTTGGGAAGAAAGACCATCTTTTTATCCTTCATGATCACGTGCATGATGCCTTATTCACAGTAAATGACTTTTATTCCTAGAGAAAAGGAATAAGCAAGCTACCTCATCCCTGCTTCAAATTAAATTCCAATATCCAGTTAGGAAATGCTCCTACATCTCTGATTCCATTAAATAAGTTTAATTTCTTATTTATAGGCCAAAGTGGCACTTAAAAACAATAAACAGAGGCAGGAAATCACATTATGATTATAGTAAGCGTTCAATTCCTCCTTATAATTTTCACTGGACAGAGGACATTGTATTGATTAAGGTTGTATAAATCATTTGGATAATTCTCTCATTTAAATGACGGTCCCCTGGAAGTATTTTCTATGCATGCTCAGAAAAGCTGGGAAAGCCCTGAAGTGCCCAGGGCACGAAAATATCTTAATGCCTCAAGGAGAACTGCAATAGTCAAAGTACCACTCCAAATGACTTGCCCAGTGGAGTCCTTGGGGTTCTCTGAGCTTGGTTGTTTTCTTGTAAATGTTTCGTTATCCAGCTAGGTAACATCTTCAGTGCTAGAATGGAATGGGGTTTGCTCTCTGTTTATATACAGTGGCATGCCCTGCGAGTGTTGTTGGGGGGTGGGGGTTTTGTTT